CTCTGGATCAGGAAGGAATTGAAACCAAGAAGGAGGTTAAGTGTTGAGTACTCTGGTGTCTAACTTAATTCTTGGCCTTTGGACTGGAATCTGGAAGAATGTCTTTGGTGCCTCAGCTATGTACACAGATGCACATCTCAGACAGACAGATAGATAGATAGGACCAACTAGGTATTTAATGAGCTCCAAAACAGCTAGTGTGCTGTGGGAAAAGGGCACTGCTACAACTGGAAAAAAAAAAAAAAAGTTGTTTTAAAGCCATTCCTTTCTGGAATCCCATCTCTTACTCCATGATGTAGGGTGATACCCCTGAGATACTTTTTTCTTTAAAGTTAATCTTTCATACAAATATTTAGAAGCTAGTTTACTTGGTGAGGCTGGGGCATCCCTTTCCCTCCCTGGGCAAGCTAGACCACTGAGCATCACAGGTTTCCTCAACTGCCAGTCCACACAAACAACACACAAAACGCACCTAAGTCACTGGCCCTGGTGTTTGCAGCAAGTACTCTTCATGCAGTTTTAGATGATATAGCTGGTTAATTAATAAAAGGCACCAGCTGCCATCACAGCAAAAAGCAGAATACAGCTTCCCCCCCCATCTTTCAGATGGCATTTAAGACAAAATGGATGTAAAAAAATAACACTAAATAATGTCATCTGAAGTGGAAATAGTCCTGTACAAAGCAGCCCATCTGTGTGCCATCAGTCTTCTCCAAGGCTCTTTTGAGCTTCTCTCAGATTGTCACTGCCACATGACATGCAGAAACTGGGGCAAAGTAGCGCAAACATAGTTATTTAAAACGTCGTCTTCTTTCTGGGAGCTATCGGATTAGGCTGTTGGACTTAATCCCATTTAATGTCTCTGGAGGCCAGGCTAAGAGTGCCAGGGCTGGCAGGTGCTCTGCACTGCCAGAAGCAAGGGCTCCTGCTCAAGCAGGGCACTGCATTTGTGTAGCCAAACTCCCTTGCCTGCTTTAGGACCTCACTTTTATAGTAGAGGTTAATAGGACTGACAGTGGGCTTTGGTCTATGCAAATACAACATCTATCCCATATAGTTCACTGTGTGTGTTAAAAGATTATCTGTAGGAAGGGGAACTCAGTGTCTTCATGACAAACAAAGCTTGATTTAGTTACCTCCTGCCTGAAGAGATGACTGCCACTGTTTTCCCCTCCACGGTTCCTGGTAGGTGGGGCAATGGTGGCACATAGCTCCTGCACAGGAAGAGGTGATGACCCTGATAGGTACTGCTGGCCCGGCGGGTGCGTGAAGCTGCCTGGTCAATGAGGTCAATACAGTAAGTAATGCATTCCCAGTAACAGTGCTGTACTGCCTCATGCCGCGTTCCTCAGTAGGCACTCAGCAGTCCTCCCAGCACCACAGCCATGAGCAAGGCTGCTGACCAAACTCGGCACAGCCCTCAGACTAAGATGGCGGGGGGGTGGCAGCTGGGGGCCAAGTTGGCCGGGGTGTGGAGGGGGGTACCTCACCCCCTCCCCGTCGAGAGACTAAGGAAAGCAGGGCAGGGTTGCTCGTGGGGGCATACTTGAAGCTTCCACTGCAGCGGGGCTAACACGGACGGGCAAAGGCACCCCGAAGTGCTCCCACTTCCCGTGTTGAGAACGGGACCTCTAGTATGCCGCCCCCCTGGCGTGTAGCCTCACCCACTGAGGCAGCGTGGGGCGGGGCTAAGGTGCAGACTCTGCTCCTTCCCAGCGTGGGGCGGAGCTAACCACACCGCCGCGGCTCTTCCGTAAACACCACCCCGGCCTTCCCACCCCCACCCCCACCCGGCAAGGCCCATTCAAGGTGGGGGAATCTGCAGAAGCGTCTCCCCCGTCACTTGATATATTCTCCCCCCTTAGTGCTCGCAGCCGGGTAGAATGAGGACATACGGACTGTTTCTGCGGGGATAGGAGCAAGTTGACCCAAATCGTCGGACCAACTGGCGCTGGCAGGCCGGAAAAGATTACGTCCCCCCCACGTCACCCGCGGAGATGGACGCGTCCAAGGAAGACACTAATAGTCCGTGCTGGGTATATAACTCGGGGGGGAAGGGGGGTGGCGTTTAAACGTCTGGTGAGCGCCGCGCTGAGGGTGAGCTGCTGCCGCCGCCGGCTCGCGGTGAGTGACCGGGGTGAGCAGGGCAGGGCCGCGTTTGTGCCGGCACGGCACACGTCTGGGTGTCCACGTACAGGCTGTGGGGTCGGAGCTGGCCCGTGCAGAGTGTTGGCAGGAGCGGGATGCGCTCGGCTCTGAAGCCCCAGTGGGGCTCCCGCTGCAGCAAGTGGGCTTAGCAGCCACTGCTGTGGGTCTGTAGTGTGACCCTTGCCCTGCGTCTCCTGGGCTGTCTCCGTCCCTTGATGTCCGCTGGCTACCGGGGCGGGCGCAGCGGTGGGGTTTTCCCCTTGCAGCCCGGCTCCCGCTCACTTCCCGGGGCGTGCGGGGCCAGGACGCTTGGGGACGGGCAGCCGGGTTCGCTTTCCACGGGGCTGGCGGAGACAGGGTTCCCTTCTGTCTTGTCCTTCGCCCTTCCTCCCCCCGGCCCTGTCCTTGGAAACGCTGTTTGTTTTGGTCGGTGAGTGCCAAGGTCCTGCCTCTGGTAACTGCTAAAAACATGGGGCCGGGGGAGGAGACAGGCAAAGAAACAGATGGAGGAAGAGGAGGAGCCGGCGGCGGTGCCGCTGCCCCGCCGAGGGTTGGGGGTCGGGCAGGGCTGGGCATCCTCAGCCTCCCTCAGCGGTGTTTCTGGCCCTGGGCTGGGGCGCCTTGCTCCTAAATGCGGGAGGTGAGGGTGGCTGCCGTGGCCACGGACAGTGGGGGACACTGCTCATCTCGCTTTTACATAGTCTTAAACTCCTCTTCAAGAGAAGCCTGTATGTAAAGTGGAGAGCTGCGGAACTAGGAAGGTGAAGGTGAGAAATGACGGCTCTGAGCTGTGAAAAAGGAGGCATGAGCAAATTCCTTAACTCTTAACAAAGGCTCTTTTCTGCTCCGGTGCCGTGAGTGCTGCCAGAGGTGGAATCAGTGATAGGGAAACTCGAGCCCAAAGGAGATTCGGTCGGTGCCAGCTAGAAGATAGTAAGGATGTAAGCCTAGTAGAGTGAACAAAGTTAAGACACTTAAAGTGGTAAAACTGGACAGAGCACTTTAAAAGTGTGCATGGATGGAGTGATTTACTTGAATAAGCAGGGCTGTGCAAAAACTTTTCTTGACGATGTTACCTGAAGTTAAACCCATCCAGACTGTCTTTCACTCCCCCAAGGTGCTTCATAAAATAACTTGTAAAGGAAGTTTTTGGGTATAAAAAATGTGTGTGTTCTCTAAGCCTAATCTGATCTTGTGATCTTTATCAGTTATAACTTTATGATACAGTTACTGCATCACCCAGCCTGATAAGAGCAAGATGCCTTTAGGCATCTACAGTGTTGTATTCATTTCATCCAAGCTGTTTAAATCGCAGCAGAAACCGTGATAACTTAGTTAACTAGAATCTTGGGGTTTGTACACTTTGAAGATATTTTTATCTTGGTCTCCTATTTAGAGTTTTTCCTTAAAACCCTGTGAAATCGTACTGATTGAAAGAGAGAAAACAGTGTATTGAAGCCCACTGTGAAGGAATTCAACCTAATATAAAAGTAAATGTCATTTATTTTCAATTCAGGAAGAGTAAAGCAGGTTGTAACCACAGGCTGATCCTTTAATAGAATAGGTAGGATATTAAACTGTGTATTAAAACAACAACCTAATATGTAATACCTAATGAACAATTGAAAAAAGTTGGGATTATCTGTTCAATATGGGGAGTTACAAAGAGATGTTGGAAGGTCAGAAGGATTTCTGAAATATTTTTACTTGGGAATTATATTAAACCTAAAGTTACATGTGAACTTGGCTTGTAATAATTTACAACAAGCTCTGTGCTGTGTGGAACAGCAGCTCTTCCAGTGTTTAGGCTATAGAAAAAGGACCAAGTGACTTGGTTGTCTTTTGTTGTAACTACTTAGAAGTGCTTTTTTTTTTTTTTTCTGGTTTGTACTTCCCTTTGATATGCTCAATAAATGTACTCTTGTCAGAGTTTCTTAGCTGTTGGGTAACATATTTAAAAACTGTAGATGACATGTCCACATTCTGCTTGCACATTTGTCTGTGTTTACTTTGTTGTGCTTACTGCCTTGTTTATCTTTTAAACTTGTAATTTAGCAATAATGTTCTGAATCTGCAGAATGTACCTATTCTTCTTTACCATTCCATTTGAAGCATCCTACTCGGTAATACATTTACTGTGGCAAAGCTTTCAGTGTATTTTCAGTGTGTCATCTCCGGTTGCATTGTTGAAACTTGTTATTTAAAACCTCTTATTTAAATTGGGTCTTCGAGAGCACTCTGACAGCTCTGCTCTCTGTATGTGTGTATGTATTGTAGGAACAGCTATGGTCTCAGTACTTCAAAATATGTCATGGGCCTCTTTGAAATGCATGTATTTGTTGCTGAAAGATCCTTTACTGGGACTAATATGTAAGGATTTAATGTATATAGAATTTTACCATAATGGAATCATCATAGAGTGGATTGGGCTGGAAGGGACCTTAATGATCATCTAGTTCCAATACCCTTCCATGGGCAGGGACACCTTCCACGAGACCAGGTTGCTTAAAGCCCCATGCAACCTGGACTTGAACACTGACAAGGATGGGGCTGCCACTTCTCTGGGCAACCTGTGCCAGGGCCTCAGAACCCTCATGATATTTTAATTTCTACTGTCATGTTTTGGACCTCTTGGGAATCAAGACTGGGGCCGAAAATGGCAATACTGACTTTCCTCCATGACTGGTTGAGTATTTCTGTCAGAAGCACCTTGCAAATTTGAGTATTAACAAATTGGAGTTTTTATTAGGATTATTATGCTAAGAATTTTTTTTTAATGATGATTTGAAAATTGTGTGAGAATTTTGGGGTTTTAATGGTCATGTAACTTCTTCCATGTTCTTAACACCTGGACTGGAGCAGTAACACATCTTGAAGTGCTCATACTAGGCAAGTGACTTGCAAGACCTTTTGGGCCAGTACGCTGCTAACAACATTAACTGAATCTTTCGATGGACCACAGGCAACATTAACCTTTTGGAGGTTAGTTATTTTTGCATAAATAAAGTCATATACATGACTAACACTTTGAAATACAGTGTTCTGCTGCTTATCCAGAAACAATAGCAGGAGGGCAGTATAGGCTTTGCTGACTCTGTAGAGTTAAAGTGTTTAAGTGAGCAGTTCCATGTCAAGGACCTACAGGTAGGTTATGTGTCACAACTAGTTTCTGGCTGGCACTAGCCTTGATGTCTGCAGTGCATGTCTTAAGCGAAAAAGTAGTTTTAGTCTTTTGTGTAACATTAACTAGTGATTAATTTCTGATTGTAACTTAAATATAATCTTCAAGTAAAAAAAAATTCTCACCCTTTTGGTTTTATGGGTTCTCTTGCAACTCTGTCTTTAGTCAATACTATTTTAAGTATCTGCTTGTTTTCAGTTGCTTGTTAGACATTATGAAATTGCTGGTTTAATAAGTTATGATGTTAAAGATAACAACAGTCTAGTCTTGAACCTATGACCTCTATCCCGATCAAACTGGCTTCTTCAGTAAGATGGTAAACTGTCAATTCTTGCTGCTGTGATTCTTTTCACAAAAAAAAAAACCAATGTAATTACATAAATAAGGCACTCAAATGCATCTTTCCTCTTGGGAGAGGAGGAAGAGTAAGCATACACCTAACAAATGTTAATCATTGCAATTAACAGAGTAGTACTCATCAGTGTAATACCTCATCAGGTTATAAAGGCCTACTCAGGATGAGCTGGTACCCAAACACTCAAATGCTCCAAGCTGTAACTAGGTGCCAGTGTAAAGAAATCTTCATTTTTTACTCCCTTTTGTCTGTCTCTTGGCCCTGTGATATGCTGATTCACATAAATACACACAAAGATCATCCTTTTGCTTCCAAAAGTGGTTTTTCCAAGTTCAACAGTTGTGAAGTGTGGTATTCCTTGCCTGCTGAAGCTGGTGCAATTCAATCATAGATGAAGTTATAGTACTTAAATTTGCTGGTGGAGGGTATTGTTGGCTGTGTCTCTGCATAAAATCTACTACAGAATGCTTTGTGGCTGTAATCAAAGATGGACAGCTACTTTTGGTATCTGGGCCAAATTCCTTTGGTAGTAATTGTGGCTGACTTCCAGTTCCTCATTTTAATATGATTAGGAGCATATTTTTTACTTCCTGTCATACAACCATTAATCATCTCTATCGTACTATGCAGCTGTCTAAATGCTCTGCAGTTGCAGTTTATCTGCCTGGGAGGCAATTTCTTTATGTAGGCAAAGCACTATGAAGCATGACGTTTCTCAGTGTTATGCTGAATGTAATATTAAGAGGCCCAGTTACCATTTGATTTAAATCACAAAACCCATCCACCCTCACCATACCATTATTTCTGGGGTCTATGCCATTGTTGATCTGATTCTGAGCAAAAACCCACTTAAAGGAGGAGGCCAGGCTTTCAGCTACGCCATGTCAGAATGTAGTATTCTGAATTATTTGCCTATTCTGCCCAGCAACTTCTGTTTGCTTCACAATTGTTCCACTCAGTACAGTTTGTGGAAGGAAGCTAACTGCCAAACTTCACTTGCTGGTGAAGTCAGGTGGGGGATGGTAACACCAGGAGTTGCCTTTATGGATGTTGAGAATTTCTGAAGTTCTGACAACAGGCAACTTCTAGGGTTATGGTGGGTAATCTTGTATTATTTTTTTTAATACAGTGAATTTACAGACTATCTCTAACATAACCATGAGGGTATGAAACAGCAGAGGGTCCAAAGATTGCTTGGAAAACTGGTGTAGTTTGTTAATAACTGTGTGCTTCTGCATGTCAAGCCAGATCATTTCTGCAGCACCTTTTTAAGAAAGGTAGCTACTTGTTCTTTATTGGCAAAGTAATGATCAATATCTGACTTCTGAGAAATAAACAATAGTAAGCATTGGTTTTATTGCAAGTGTATTTTGTTTTTCCAGGTCTTGTGTACTGTAGCACCTAAAGTGAATCAGAATGCCTCTCAGTGATGACCATAACAGTGATTCAGAGTCTTCACGCCTCTCGGAAAGCACAGCTACTTCTAGCGACTCTGAATATTCAAGGCAGAGCTTTAACAGCGATTCTTCAAGCAAACCCAGTTCTCCAGCGTGTAAGCCTATTTCAGCCTTACCTTCATTGTGCATAGGCGGATGAGGCTAACTTATTTCATTTCTCTTTGCTATTCTGGGTAGAACCTGGGATTCTGAATATCTGTTTAAGAGTATTATGAGAAAGGCATGGCTTTCTCTCTGCTGTGAAACAGTGCATCTACTTGTGTCTGGAGCACCACCAGCAGCTGTATCCATGGGGGTCTCCCTGTGCACTCCTTCCCTTCAGAAAGCGTAAGAAAAGTGTGCCACTGTGGACATCCTAATCTTGATGTGGGTAGTGGTCTCCCACTCAACCAGATACAGCTTTGTGCAAAGGGTGACTTTCTTCTGTTTGCTCTATACATTTAAAAATTAAATCTGTAGCTTACAGATTTCATGTAACTTGATCTTATAATATAAGTTAATCTCAAATTCCCCTTTTTTATTTCTTTCATAAATATTAGGATCAAACAGAAAACACACATTTGCACAAGGAATGTATTTTGAGTAATTGCTTGTTAGTGGAGCTGTAATTGGCAGCTGGCTATCTGTCTGTCTTTATTACCTGTCTTCAAAGGGTTAATTCCAAATACTAAATTAAAGGGCAGAATTTGGGGGTTTAGAAACTTCTGGAATTACTCTTGCTTTCTAATGTAGAGTTTCTGTTATGATATTAATGCCTATTTGTAAAAAAAAAAAGTGTAATTTACAGAGCATCTGCTATGGAACATAAGTGGGGGTGTTCTCAAGTCTGTAACTTCAGAATCTTCTCTATAGGCAATAAAACCACAATATAGCCATTATATGCTCAGAATTATAATGGACATCTGGTATCTGTTATTGCCCAGGTTTTTGGTCTGGTGGATTTTACAGAAAAGTTAATAGCAAATCTGTGGAATGCAAGATCCTGTTTTAAAGGAAAAAAAATATCTTGCTTAAGATGCAAAAATATGAAATTGCTCTTCAAAATGTTATGAGGCTTATGTGGTATTGCCCACACACACACCCCTGATAAGCTGGGAGTTTCCTGAGTTAGTGTTTTAAGAAGATATAAAGACCCAGTAATCCTAGGTTGTTTTTTCTAGAGTCCAGGTAGCAAGCAGCAAAGCTTCTAAATTTTAATATTTTTCAATTGCACTTATGAATTATAGATATTTGGCTTGAATGGATCTTGTTTGTTCCAGCAGCAAGTCCCCCTAAGATGATTACATTTGATGAACTGATGGCAGCTGCACGAAATTTGACAAACTTGACCCTAGCTCATGAAATTGCTGTAAATGCAAATTTTTGCCTAAAACATGAAGACTTGCCACAGAACAGGTAAGAGCCTGGATTTTGTGAAAAGCAGCACTGGGGTTGGGAAGAGAGTAAAATAAAATACCACCCCACCCCAAAAATAACCCAATCAAAACAAAAAACTATCAACAAAATCCAAACCAAAACCATTTTTTATCCTGCACCTCCAGGAGTCACTGTCAGCATGATCTTGCTTGGAACAAGTGGTGCAGTCCAGCTGAATTGATAGACTGTCTTGGCATGTTGCTCTGTTTTAAATGTCACAGAAGATAAAGGGTTAATGTAATACGAATGCGCATAGTGAAGATGAGTATTGGTTTGTTCTGTGCAGTACCAAGCCCTGTGGAAAAGGTGAAATGGTGGCTTTGTATGTAATAGTTCATTGGTGTGGTAGTATTAAGAAGGTAAAGCTCATCATGAACATAGCTCTAACATTAGCCCCAGAAGCCATGCAGAAATACCTGGAGAACCAGAGGAAGCAAGACATAACTTCCCTTATGTAGGTAGCTAAATAGACATGTCTGTGAGCAAGAGCAACTTAAAAATAACCCTGGTCTTTGCTTTGAGAAAACTTACATAAAAAAAAGGGGGTATTTTTAATTGCATAAGTCCCTTAACTGATAATTGGTTATATGACAGAGTAGTTTTTGAGAAAGCATAGTACATAACATACAAGGTTAGAACAACGAGTACAGATCCAGTAAGGAAAAAGGGCAGTTAATACTACTTTACCCACATCTGAATTGCCAGCACCACTTTGTACAGACACCTGTATTTTATAGAAGACTTGTCAGTCTAGATGGTGTTTTGGGACCTGATGACCCACAGCCCAAGAAAGATGATTGCAGGGCACAGTAGCTGGTGAGGGGCATTTTCCCTCACCCCAGTGATTGTGATCAGACTAATCTAAATCACTTCTACCAATGATGAAAAATAGATGGGAGTCATTTCTGTATCTAATTGAATTATTACACAGTTTTGCAGGCACAGTGAAACAGATTGTACACAAGGCTTTTTGGGATCACTTGGAATCGGAACTGAATGAAGATCCTCCAGAATATGAACATGCTATCAAGCTCTTTGAGGAAATCAAGGAGGTAATGTTCTTCCTCTCCTGAGCCCCAGTATTGCTTTGTCAGCTTATGTCTGAAAGGCTCTGACTTCACTGAAGAGTCTGCTAACTCAGTTAACACCTTTATGTTTGTTCTTTAAAGATAAAAACAGAACTGCAAATAGGTGTAATTATAGTATATTTATATATATTATGATAAGTTGCAAGTCAGCTCTTCTCTCAAAGCTTTAAATTTCTCCTAGTTTCTTTCCAGCATGTACTGTGAGCTTATGGTATGAACAGGAGTATAAATGTGACTGTACCTGCTCATGTAGACTTTGTTTACCCACCTCCCTGGGCATTTCACACTCCCAAGACCCACTCTCAGCAACTTTTCTGGCCCTTTAGATTGGATATTAAGAAAAATCTCTCCACTGAAAGGGTAGTCAGGTGTTGAAACAGGCTTCCCAGGGAAGTGGTGGAATCACCATCCCTGGAAGCGTTCAGAAGCTGTGTAGATGCAGCCTTTAGTGACATGGTTTAGTGGTGGACTTAGCAGTTCTAGGGGAATGGTTTGACTTGATGATTATAAAGATCTTTTCCAATCTTGTTGATTCTGTGATCATACACGGAAGCATGCACACCTTCAATCCCAGCATGATACTAAGTCTTTCAGAAGTTTGAGTTAGGAAATGTTTGTTTTATAGGGCAGTATCCAGACATGCTTTCTGTTTTACTAGAGCTTTGAGCTTTTTTGCAGAACTCTGCAGAGATAATTTTAACAGTACTTCTTTCCTGCTACCTTAATGTTCAGTCTTAATGTGTCTTGTTATAGTCAGTTAAATACACTTGCCATTAAGATCTTATTTCAGCATGTTTACAAACTGGTTTGGTTTTTATTAATATGCTTTTTTATTTCCCCCCTACTTCAGATTCTTCTTTCCTTCCTGACTCCTGGAGCAAACAGGATTCAAAATCAGATTTGTGAAGTTCTAGATACGGATCTTATACGGCAGCAAGCAGAACATAATGCTGTTGATATTCATGGGCTAGCTAATTATGTTATCAACACTATGGGAAAGTTGTGTGCTCCAATAAGAGACAATGATATAAAACAGTTAAAAGCAACTGACAATATCATAGAATTACTGAGGTTGGTATTCGGGTGTCTTGGGGGTTTTCAGATGAAAATCTCTTCTGAAAGAGTACTGGGCAGTGGAAGAGGGGGTATAGTCTTAAAAATTATGTCTTAAATTGTGTCAGTTTATATAACAACTGCTCTCAAACTATAGGAAAACTTATACAGAAGTATTAAAGGGGAGAAGCTATGACATGCTGATAAGAATATTGTCTTACATTGTAATAAAATGGATAGAATGCCTAGATCAAGCAGTACCAGCTCTGACTAAGCCACTGAACAACAAAAAAACACTCTTGCAGTAATCTCTTTCAGAGACTGCTTTTTCAGTCTTGTTCATCCTTACAAAGCTTACGCAGCACATTTGTACAGTTCCATCTTGAACTATTTAGTGCATGTAGGAGGCCAAACTTTACATTTTAAATACCTCTAGTAAAGATATAATTATTTGAACTTGAGTAAAGCATAACTGGCAGAAACTAGTTTACTCTTTCTTAGGTACATGAAAACACTAAGAGTAGATGGAGCTGTTCTACTGTTTATTGCAACTTAGATCATATGCAGGGATCCAAGCTACTGGGATTGTTTCTCTTTGTACAAATTTAAATAAAAAGTTAACGTACGTTCATTTAGGCTGAAATGTACCAACTTACAGGTGCTGCGTATTGGTCTTGGTATCTGTGACACCAAACCTTACACACAATACTCCTTCAGGTATCCTGGAAGCTATATAACGTCTCTCTTACACTGAAATACTGATGCAGTTTACTTCTACCAGAATTGAAGTTAAAGTACTAATGTAGATGTATCTCATACGTGATGGTTAAAATCAATAGACTAATTGTAAAATTTTAAATTTTCTCCTTTCAGACAAATATTCCGTGTTTTGGACCTGATGAAAATGGATATGGCAAATTACGCAATTCAAAACCTTAGACCATACCTTCAGCGTAATTTGGTGGACTACGAAAGAACAAAATTCCAGGAAATTCTTGAAGAAACACCAAGTAGGTATCCTGCTATCTTTAAATCAAAACTTCCTGAAAAAAAAAAAAAACCAAAAAACTAAATACACACCTATTTAAAGACATGCTATAAAATCTATCAATTGCAGTTAATTTGGAGGAAAACTTCAGTTTCTTGTCTGGATCTAGCTGTTGCAAAAGTTCTTTGATAAGCAAGCTACCAATGGGCAATTGCTTAACTTGCTGTAAAGGATGTTCATCTGTAATCTGGGGTGCTTTCAGATGAATTTGTATTTGCCGTATTGGTTTGTATCTGAAAAACAAACTGTAGCTCTTCCTGTCTGGAGACAGAAGCCCTGTATACTGAAAGATGAGACTTTATCTCTTTTGTGTGCAGCTAGTCTATTGTTAGTTTGAAGTAAACCTATAAAACTAGTTAGTATGCATGAAAGTTGGGACAGGATCCTATTTTTAATAAACAAAAGGCAAGCTCTGAGGGAATACCTTAGCTGATGCAAAATCAACTTTATCCATTATTACAGGTTTTGCGTAATGTGGCTAAACAGGGTTCAGGAAACATTTTTCAAGAAGACAAAGTAAGCTTACTAACATCTGGAGAAGGGGCTTCTGAAATAGGAACCCCAAGCCACTGATGCAGCTTGCAGTATTTATATATGCAGCCTGAGGAAAAACTGTGTTAACAACAAATGAAAAGCTATTGGAGTTCTTTCTCCCCTCTATTTTCCAGTCCTGTACCCCAACCTAGTAACTTGCCTTCCTGAAAAAAGAAAATAAGAAAATGCTCTGGGAATTCTGAGGCTGCTTTTACGCCAAGATCTTGGCTGAAGTCTTAACAATTTGTTGCTGGGTTAATACAAGCTAGCTGGGATATTAAGGTGACCAGTGGAAGATATGTGGGGAAAAAAAAAATGAAGGGAAGAATTTACATGTTAAAACTCAGCTGTCCACTATGTTTGAGTCTTCAGAAGTCATACTCTTGTTTATGAGTACAACTCTTTTCCTCAAGGTAGTGCTTATTTTGATGAGAACATGCAGTAAATCTGTATTGATTTGCAATGCTTAGGTGCCCTGGACCTCACAACAGAATGGATAAAGGAATCTATACAAGATGAATTGTCATCTACTTCTGATGAATCTTCATCATCCCCTGGTGCTGATAGTAGTTCTAAACGAACCATTAGTCCTACACTGGTGCTAAACAATGGCTACTTGAAACTGTTACAGTGGAATTATCACAAAACAATTCCAGAGGTAGGAAGTGTATTTCAGTGTCTTCAGATTTCTAGCTATATGAAAATATTTGTGTAGTATAGTAATCCTTCTGTTGATAACTAAGTGAAGTATTCTCTTACACTTCTTACATTTCCGAGTAGTAAATTCAGAGTATGTGCTAGTGTAGTGTCTGAAATACAAGATGTGCAGCAACTAGAAAACAACAATGTAAACCTTGTCTTGATTCTATCCCATCATAGCTCACCAGCTCCATCCTGTGAGCAGTCTTGGCCAGGGTCACAGGCTGGGCCTGGTACTGCCAGCTCCTGGCTTTGTGTACCTTCAAGGGAACTGATCATAGCATTCTGTTTTCCTAAGAGCAGCAGGAATTAGTGGGATTGCTCTTGCTTTAGAACAGAATCAATGAAAACTTGAAGCCCTGTAAAGCAGATACTCATCCTTTTGCAGTGTATATAAACTATTGTTTTGAGAATCAGTGTTCAGTTTTTCCTACCAGCTCCTGATCACTGACCTCTGCAACTTTCCATAAAGCCAATTTGAAATTGTCCATCAGTCAGAGCTAAAATTAGCATCTGCAATGAGCTCCTTAGCTATACTTAGGGTAGCCTTTTAGAGAACTTGCTGAATATATGGGGAGGCTTTTAGTGTTCTCAGTCAGTGGACACAAGGGAAACCATCTTGTTTCTACCTTAATTTGAAAAGCTTTGAATAATAGCTACACACAGGTATCCTCTGGTGAATGTAGTTTGCCATACTATGAAACTACTACTACTGAGTGTTAATGCCCCTGCGCTTCACAGTGAAGGGATCTGGTTAGGATTGAACTCTTTCTAACCTAAAAAAATCACTCCAGCTACATTTTACTGTGGGAATTACAGTCTTGGTATGATCAACTGCGTGTTTGCCTGTAACAGGTTATGAATCACTTGCAGAACTTGCTCTGGTGATTGAGCTTGTGGTTGTCATGCACAGTTGTTCATCACTGTCTGTCAGTTCCAGATTGCCATTTTTCAAAGAACAGCTGAATCCAGAAGACTGTTGTCTGTAACCTTGATCACTGCAATGTCCTCTGGATCCCCTGAGCATTTTGCTTTGTTGAATTGTTGGTTGCAAATTTCCATTAGCAGTGATGAGGAATAACATGCAATGTCCTTGGTTTGCTCTGCACTGAAGACATTACCTTTCTTCCTGCCATAGGCTTACTTCTGGTACTCATACATAATGTTACTTTGTGCAATATTACATATTCAGAGTATTTCAGCTGCTGTCTCTTCTGACATTGTGTATTTGTGTTTAAAAAATGTCAGTGCTTCATGACTATATCCTGTATCTGTCCTTTTTCCTGCTTCTCTCCCTCTGTATTCCTAAATTAGTATTATTGTTTCAATTCCAGACTCTAATAACAGACGAAGCTCGTCTTCAGGAGTTGAGAGAAAAGCTCAAACAATTACAGATCATAGCTTGTGTTTGTCTTATAACAAACAATATGGTGGGTGCAGCAATTGTAGATGTGCCTGATTTTGCTGAGCAGCTGAAAAGGATCTCTCTTCCTCTTCTTGAAGGCATGAACAAGAAGTAAGGTCTTATTTTTTATCACTCTTCATATTCATTTATTTATATTAAACAGGAAATACTAGGTGGATCTGAAAACCCTTGGAAACAACTCAAATGTCATAGCCAGTGCTTGTTAATAATAGGAAAATATAAGATTTTAATAACCTGTATCTGTATTCCCTTGAAAATGTAAGTCCACTCTGTTAGGCACATACTTTCAAAGGTATATTTTAATGAAATCTTAATCTTGATGTTAGTATACAGAACTTTGGGGTCTAGTACTAAAGTTCATTCATATGCTCCTAATACTGAAGAGGCTCTGGCAATACATTCACTGAATTGTCTTGCCAGTTGCTTCAAACTAGTTGTAGTTAAAACTATTTGGCTGCTTATTTCTGCTGCCTGCAAGTAAGTGATGTGATCTCAAGGAGTGTCTTAAAATAGTTTTTCCACTCTGCTTTTTCTTACAAAATACTATGCATGTGGCCCAGGAAAACACCTTAGCGTAATGGAAAAATGAAGTGGTGTCACTGCTGTACACTTGAAATTATTTTTCATGTTAGGTACTTATTTTATCTTCTACATGAAGATTTGTGCTATACCTGTAGATCCTTGTAAATCTGCAAAAGAGAACTTTCCTAAATTCTTTTATTGCAGATGGTGGGTTTAAAATAAAAGGGGAAAAAGACAAGTAAGGTCACTTTACAACCTATGCTCTAGAAACTGCTGAAGTTAATGCTTTTCTCTTTCTTTCTTCCAGAACTTTTGATTTGAAGGAGGCTCTGGATGCTATAGGTGTCCAAATTTGCAGTAAAGTGAACAGGTCTCTAACTGAAAAAGGTCTTCCCACTCTTGATGAAGAAATGCAGAGTAATTTAATGGGTCAAATTGCTCATATTGTAGAGGAGAATAATCCTGTCTGTTCCTTGATTGGTTAGTAAGATTATGTATAATTGTTGTATGTGTTATGTCGTATATCAACTTACTCCCAGCAAGCTTAATCAGATGTGTAATTATTTTTAAAAACACTTTTTACTGGGGCAACTAAGAGTAATGAAATCTTTACATAAAGAGGGTGTTCTTAGTGTGCTGTAGAGCATGGCTATTCACAGCTAGAAATACTTTAAAAAGTGCCTGAAGAAACAAGCCTTGACATGCTCATATTTTGGTGGAGAACTGAGAAAAATGAGTACTATTCACTCTTCCTTCTGTCAGTTCTGGGTTTAAACTTAGTGTTTTTTGTAATTTGAGTCTACTTAGGTAATGTAACTTGTTTGCAGCAGGTTTATGCTGCATCCAGCTTGCAGGAGCCAACTTCAAGAAGCTTTCAGTATTGTTTCCCACTACAACACAGGCTTGGGAAAGAGTTGTTACCCATGCTGCTGGATTTTGTGCTGTGCTGATGTATAGGGTGCTTACAAAGTGACTATGGCTTCAGCTTGGGCTCTCTTGTTCTGAGTGTACTTTATATTTTATTTCAGACAAACGGATCCAGTTCTTCCTGAGAAGCTTGCTTGCTCTTCCCAGTTTTCAGAAGTCTATGCCTACCATGCCAGGAGGCCTTTCCGTGATTCAGACAGAAATGGAGCTTGTTGGATCTCAGTATGCAAGCATTGTAAACTTTAATAAACAAGTGTATGGACCCTTCTACGCAAACATACTTAGAAAACTACTTTTTCGTGAGACACCTATGGGAAAAGCAGAAGCAGAAACAGGAACAGCAACAGCTACCAGTTAAAAATTTTCACCTATTTCTTTACCCCTTTTTTTATCTTCCAAAGTGATCTGTCTTCCCTACTAAGAATAGTCCACTCCAGTGAATAGCAGTGAGAGAGATCTTGTAAAATGTATACAGATAGCTTCTGAAATTCACTGGAAAGACATTTAAGTTCAAGGACATACATATTTTAATAGAATAAATTCGTTTGATGCATTTTGTCACTTGTGAACTATTAGTTCTCATGGCAAGCATTTATGATTTGCATTGGGAAGGGACTGGTGCTGCAGAAAATACATGGACTCAGTCAGAGATCAGTGTGATCAGAAAAAAGCCATTTGTTGCAAAGCCTTAACTCCTTATATACTTTTTCTTACAAACACAGTGATTTGGCATATTATGATTGGATACATATCTTGAAGACCCTTAGGGACTAACATATAATTTGTTAAGCACAGGTGTGAGAACCTGACCTCAAAAGCTTGCCAACAGTCCACAGTTCTCATAACTCAGTGAATTCCTGCTTCTTCTTATCTTGCTTGCTTAAGCTTCCTCGGGCCTCGCTGTATCTTTTGGGATTATTCAGAGTTCATGTACCAAATATCCATTCTCCTGTGAGAACACTGTGTCCACATCTCCCCCTTTTAGTTTTATCTATCTTTTGGATGACCCTATGTGAGCAGGGGATTTGGGCTAGTTTGTATCTCCAACATCTACCAACTACAGGCTGCTGGGCCTGCCCTTTTTTCTGCTGTATGGCTCTCTAATAACAGGGGAGGCCATCTTTCACATCAAGGTCTGGCATGGCATGTGTCCCCACTGCTCCACACCTGCTGGGTTGCAGCCAACAGTGGAGCTACAGGTTTTTCTTGGTGGCAAACACAGAGGCCAACCCAGTCTTGCCCTTGACTGTTGTAGCAGGCATTTGGTCAGTCTCAGTCCTTGCACCTTGTCAATGCAGAGTTTCACCTGCTTCATCCCGTAACAAGTTGCTACTATGGTAAGGCACACACAGATTTACATTAGCAGAGTAACTATTAACAGAGTGCAGCAGCATGTTGAAGATGCTGATGGCAGCGAGGGACTAGCCAAAGAAATTTCTTACCAGTGGAGTTCTCCCACCCTCTTAATTTGTTCCATTACCTGCTTTATAACACTACCATTGTATTAGAATCTTTCTAGCTTTTGCCTTAGCATTTTCTAACAGCTGCTGCAAATTTGCATGCTCTAACATCTTTTTTACAAGTGACAAATCCATACAATATAAGGTGTAGTTTCTTATTAGCAAGTGGCTAGTAAATACAAGTGGTTTTATACACAAAATCACAGCTTCTAATAATTTCTAATTTACAAGCACACATATTCAAGTTGTTACTTTTCAGTTGCCCCCAAGTGATGTTTTGCAATCATTCATTTTTCTCTTCCTCTGTCTCATTCTGCTTGGGGTATTCATGGTCAGCTCCTGTAGCTGAGGCATCGGGTTCCTCTGCTCATCTGTCCAGCTCATAGCAAGGCTTGACAAGCGTTGCAGGCAGTTGCCATGGACCTGTAGGCAGGAGGACACAAATATAGTCAAGGAGTTTGCTGCATGAGGCTGGCACAGTACTTGTTTTTTTTTTTGCCACCATTAAAACAATGTTATTTTTTCAACTTAAATATATTTATATATAGCAATGCAATTATGAAATGAGAAAACAATTGTAGGTAAAATGTACAGTGCTTACATTGTATTTTTGTAGAGCAACACCTAATACAACACTCAACTTTCTGAAAAGACTTTAATATAAGAACTGCTTTTGTAACCAAAACCAGATTCGTACTAGGCCAAGTTCTGGTACTCCTGCAACTACTGGAATGAGAACTTGGCCTCTGTTAATATTAGGGAATGCCAGTGTTGTAAGCTGTATGAAGTATAGCAGTTACAGAAGAAGCATGCACCATTTGAAGTAGGAATCATTCACAACTTCTCAACTGTAATTGAGATTAATGATAAGCACCTAAGAAACATCATGTTGATGGGAGGGGGGTGGAGTTACTTTCTGTATATAATGTTTATAAGCATTTTGTTTATCCAGTGGTGGTCATACAGCTCTTAAATCTAACCTTTAATATGTGTATGTACTAATCTTTGATCTTAATGGGTATTAAGTATTTTTAAGTTAGGTCTTTCTGACCTTTATTCCTAAAAGCACTTGAAAGTGACCTTAGAGAGTACCACAGAGCAACTTCCCCCTTTTATATTCTGTTGGATGAGGGCGTAAGCTTTTCAAAGGATATCCTGGGGTCTGAAAGCAAGAACCCAAGTGATTAGTCATTCTGAAAATGTGATTGAGTTCACTTTCACTCATTTTGTGAGAAATACTGCGGTTTTCTTTAAAGTTCTTTGTAATAGTCCCCAGTATTTAGTTCCCATTTAAGGCATCAGGAATCTTGCATACAGAAAATGAACAGGCTTGAAATTGAGAAATGTGGAAATAAACTGTAAGTTTACACAGCTTTATTTTGCATATTTCAGATTACTGGGAATAGATACTGCTGGAATACGTATTATAGATATGTTATCTATGAAATTGAATCTTAATTTACTTGAAAATAATCTTTTAATATATTACTACATAATAGTCCTTTTTAAAATGTCATATATAAACTCCATATGGTACAAGTTATATAGCTTGTTCTAATATTTTATATTACAATCTATTTTTTATGAAGAGACAAGATAACCCATAAAAGCTTAATGTGTCCCAGAAATCGTGTATGTACATTACTGTGTCTTACCATAAAGGTCTAAAAAACCTGGGCATTATTAGCACTGTGGTTTTGTAGTCCGTTTCTAGAGAATTGTGTACTCTTTTTGGTAAGGGAAATGACTTCTGGTCAGTTGTTCCTCACTGTTCAAGAATTTTGGTCACATGTACATAAGAAACTTTCTCCAAAATGCCTTTTTAGAAAAGAAATTTCTGTAGTGCACTTCTGCTCTATCCCTTGTAAAAAACATTGCACAAAATAAAGACGAATGCGTATTTTAAAGGGAACTGTTTCCTGAAGCCTGAAAAACCAGTGAGAAAGAAACTCCTAGAATATAGGAATTGTGCCACTAGGTAGAACAGGCTTGCTTAGATGAATATGAAATTTTGATATGCAATTCAAAATCATCAAGAGAAGAATGCATTTCAAAGGCAATTATGGGAAGTTAAATCCTAGTGAATTGCTGCATCTTTGAAAAGACATAAACTATTTTAAGCTTCAGCCAAAAGAGGATCTTATCAGTGTTTGAAGATGATTTATAACAGGATTATGATTTTTTTATAATATTTTATATGCATTCTATTATTAAATACAACTATAGATCTTCAATGTTCTGGGGAAACTCTCATACTAGGTTTTACCAGTAAATACTCAAATGAGGGTTTGTTGGGGTTTTTGGTGGTTAACTAGCAAGGGGCATTTTATAGCATGGCCTATGTTTCAACTGATTGTTTAATGTACCTTAATTTTTATTTAATGTTTGAAGCTTAGGCACTGCATCAATTTAATGTCATGTGTTGCATGCTGTTGACACTGCCGTGGCTGAAATGCACTTGCCTTTACTCTGAAGTTGTCCTTGTGAAGCAAGATGTAATTCTGTAGCAGCTTTCCCTGATGAAATGAATATTTGAGGGTTTGTATGCATTAAATTCTTTGTGATATGACTGGTGGTGAGAAGTCATTTATGCCAACTTTCTGAGATGTAATGGATTATTAAATGCTGAAGATAAATGACTGCACTAATAACACATCGTGATTCAAATTTCTCAGTTGTAGGTGGAGTCTAGAGCTCTGATTTAAACTGGGCTACACAAATAACATTCAAAACAGTTGTGTGCTTAACTCAGATTCCTTGGAAGAAGGTTGTATTTGGTTTGCAGGGCATGGTTTTGACAGCAGGGTGCCTACAGGGGCAGCTTCTGTGAGCTGCTGGAAGCTTTGCCCCATGTCCAATAAAGCCAATGGCTTCAAAACAGACCTGCTACTGGCCAAGGCTGAGCCTCCCGTCAGTAATGGTAGCACGGCTGGGGTAACACAGTTAACAAGGAGAAAGAAAAAAACCTGCTGTACAACAGCAGCCAAAAGAGGGGAGTGAGAGTATGTGAGAGGTCATAGTACACATAAGTAACGTGTACACGTAAGGTAACGTGTACTGTATCACAGCTCCACTCTTGGGAATGATAAAATAGATGGGAGGCTTCAGACTGGACGATACTGGGGTAGAGGGCAATGACAGATCCCCATAGTGAGTGGCAATAAAGGCATGGGTAAGCATTCTGTTCTTCCTGTAAAATCTCTTAATCTCCTAGAATCACAGAATGGTTTGAGGTCCTTGGTTTAGAAAGGTAATAATAAACTCTTAATCCTCTGAACATCATTGTTTGTTTATTACTGTTTTCTATTGTGGAAGTAATCATGATTTCTGATTATATACTAATGGAGGAGGCTACAGGTCACTGGACTGAAACAGTTACTCTTTGAGCACGTCCTTAGATGGAAGGGCATGAAGGTTGTTGCAGCACTGCTGTGTGTTGAAATCTTCAGGCTGACTGTATTAGGCAGGAAGCTAAATCGAAGTGATATGAAATGTTGCTACTCTCAGGTTTAACCTGGGCCTTCATGTCCAGGATGTATGCGTGGAGCCCAGACCAAACTCAGTCAGCTGTTCATGCAGAATGTGAGCCAGAGCAGAGGTGTGTGTGCAAGTACTGTTTTCACTTTTCTACTTTTAAAATGTGCTTAGCAACTGTTATACATGAACCGGCAAAAGCTTTTTGTCACGGGAATTTAAAAGATCAGAAATGCTTCTTTGTTTAAATTAAACTGGGGAAGAGGAGTAGTCCTGTTAACTGTGATTTGGGCATCTCTATAGCACTTGGGGGGGGGGGGGGGGGAAGGCTGTAGGTGATCCAGCTGCAGCACTGAACACTAAGCTTGGAAAGAGACAACAACAGTATTTTCTGTAAGCTTTTCTTTGCATCCTAAACATTGTAAAATATCAGCACCCCCTTGCTCTGTGCCCTCGTGTGTGTGTCAGCCCGCTCCCCAGGTTCAGAGGGAGACCCCCAAACGCTAACAGGCACTAAAGTCCCCTCCGAGGAGCCAGAGCATCGGGGGAAGAGGATGTTGGAGAGACCCGGCAGCTCCTACCGAAGCCCCGCTTCGGCCCCCGCTTTCGCCCCGTTTACCTGCGTGTGTCTCCGTGCTCATCCCGCCAGGTCCCCGCGGCCACGGAACGTTCGTGCACC